CGAGGGCTTGTCTAGTGATGTCACTTGATGGTTTCCTCAGCGTATGGCCAATCCATCTCCATTTCTTTCTGCCTATTTGTTTCACAATCGGTTCCTGATTGGTTCGCTCCCAGAGATCCCTGTTGCTGATCTTTTCTGGCCATCTGATCTTGAGTATTGAGCGGAGACAGTTGTTAATGAAGGTTTGAAGTTTGTTTGAGATGCTCTTTATGACTCGCCAAGTCTCTGATCCGTATAGTAGCACTGACTTCACATTGGAGTTGAAAATCCGGATCTTATTTTTGATGCTGATTGCTGTTGACCTCCACACAGATTTGAGAGTAATGAAAGCTTGTCTTGCTTTTCCGATTCTGGCTTTGATGTCCTCGTCAGTTCCGCCTGTAGTTGAGACGATGCTTCCCAGGTAGGTGAAGGAGGTTGTTTCTTTCAGGTTCTTCCCATTTATGCTTATTGTGGTCTGTTGGTGTTGTTGATGTTGGCTAGGAATCTTCATCATCTCTGTTTTATCTATGTTCACGTGAAGTCCTATCTTTGATGCTTCTTCTGCCAACTTGTTACTTTTCACTTGCATATCTTCCAGTTTATGGGAAATCAGACATATATCATCGGCGAAATCCAGATCCTCCAAGTCTTTTGTGTCAGTCCATTTTATGCCTGTTCCCTCGTTGGTTGCCGTTGTCTGTCGCATTATCCAATCAATTGCAATCAGGAAGATCATTGGTGATAGTAGACAGCCTTGCCTCACTCCCGTCCTCACTTCGAAGGCTTCCGTAAGTTTCCCGTTGTGGATTACTTGGCATGCAGCATTGTCGTATAACTGTTGGATGAGGTGTATAATTGTCGATGGGACCCCGTAGTAGCGAAGTAGTTTCCAAATGACCTCTCGATCGACGCTGTCGAAGGCCTTTTCAAAGTCGATGAAGTTGAGATAGAGAGGTGACTGCCATTCCAAGCTTTGTTCAATGATGATCCGTAGAGTGGCGATTTGATCAATACATGATTTGTTTCTCCTGAATCCAGCCTGTTCCGGACGAAGTTTTTCATCTAGGGCTTGTTTGATTCTCTCCAGGATGATGCGACTTAGTATCTTGCTTGGAATGGACAGAAGCATAATTCCACGCCAGTTTTTACATTGACTTAAGTCTCCTTTCTTTGGAAGTTTGAATAAGTAACTGTTCTTCCAATCCTCGGGTACTTTGCCCTCTTTCCACACCTTCTCCAGTAGTGGTGTCATCAAGTCCGCTGTTGTCTCTGGGTCTATTTTCAAAGCCTCTGCTGGGATTCCATCTGGTCCCGGTGTTTTCCCAGTTTTAAGCATCTTGATTGCATTCAGGACTTCTGATTTCGTCGGGGGGTCAGTGTTCACTGGTAGTTCTGCTTCCGTTGTTGGTATTGCTGGACGTGTTGTAGGTGGCGGACGATTTAGAAGTCTTTTGAAGTGTTCAACCCAGTGCTTTCTCTGTTCCACCTCTTTGGTGATTGACTTTCCATTGTCGTCCTTTATTGGCTTAATCTGTGTCGAACGTTTGCCCGAAAGGTTCCTAGTTGTTTGGTAGAGTGTGGCGAGGTCTCCTTTGCCTGCAGCTTGTTCTGCTTCGTTTGCCATGGTTTCATAATATTTTCTTTTGTCTTCCCTGGCACTTTTCTTCACTCTTTTGTTCAGTGTATTGTAGCTTGCATTCAGCTCCTGTTTTTGTTGCTCGTCCGTGCACTGGATAATCTTTTGCTTCACTGTCCTTCTCTCTTCTATTAGTTTCCAAGTGTCCGTAGTGAGCCACTGTTTGTCCTGTCTCTTTTTTCTGCCTAGAATTTCTATGCAGGTTTGGCTCCACACCGTTTTCAAGTTGTTCCAGTGCTTTTCAACGCCCCATAATTTATTGAGAATAACAAAATAGTTAAAGCGAACAATTGCGCTTTCAATAAGTTCTTCTTCAAGTATTGTAGGGATTTGGCTGATTGGTTACAGGATTTCATCATGAGCTGACATTGGTCAGAGAAACATTGGAAACTCTGGGAGTACTGGACAGCCAGCTGTTTCGTCAGCCTAGTTTGGGACTCTTCACAGTACGTACCCACCAGGGTTCGAACGCAGGACCTTCTGGTTACAAGGCTAGCGAGCTCGTAAAACATTGAGCCACTGGGACCCGATTCAACAGCCCATGAATTCTAACTTCTGCCAATTCACGATATAGCGCAACCCCTAGCCAATGTCTTCCGTTGCGAGTATTTGTCCTCACATCCGACCGGCTGCACCCTACTGGTCACAACTTCCCACTAGAACCCCAGGTAACCAACTACCTACCTGAATAGGGCCAGTAGCCACTGTGGGCATCTCATTGATATTCAAGTATTGGTTTGTAGGGATTTGGTTGATCGGTTACAGGATTTTATCACGATCAATGCATAATAAGTAAGCATGGTCAATGAGAAAAACAACTAATTGAGTACTGTTCCATCCCATCTTATTATACTTGTTTCACAATAAACTTTCTAATTTGCCTTTACTGGCTGGCTGGCTATTTTATGCTTAAATTAATGAATTTATAATTGAAGAGCCTGACGAAGAATTTATTGAAAGGACAACTGTTCGCTCTAACTACTTCGTTCTGAATAAATCACACAGTGTTGTACAGTAATATTAACTGCGTTTCCAGCACAAATTATCGCTGCTCATAATCATATCATGTCACTACTCACACAACTTTCTTACCTCATTTATATACATGAGTGAAATTAATGATTAGACATTTGAATAAAATCAGTAATATAAGATAATGTAAATTCAGAAATAATAATAATAATACGAGTGTTATTGATCAATTACACAATCAGATGGGAAATAAGACGAGTGTCTCTTTTATAGTCAAAATAATAAATAACTTGTTAGAATGTTATAATGTGTGTTTGGTGTAGACTCGATGAAGCAGGCCAGGATTCAGTAATCCATCTCTCTCTCTCTCCACCTACCTATATTAATTCTTAGAAATTTGACTCTTACCCACCCGTCCTATTGTGTGTTAATGCATGCAGTGCTATAGCTGAGTTTTTTTCTTCTAAATTACTTATCTTCGTGGGATAAATCATTCTAACCTTAGCTAAATTCTTATGTTCTGATAATCTGACTATACCTGATCTATTGGTCTGACCTATGTACTTCACTAAGATGATGATTTCCAACTCAAATGTGAAGTCAGTACTACTTACTATACGTACGGATCAGAGACTTGGCTCCGCGCCGCGTCACGAAGGGCACTTGAAACAAACTGCAGACCTTCATTAACAGTTGTCTTCGCTCAATACTACTCAATATCAGATGGCCGGCCAGAAAAGATCAGAAACAGGGAAAGATCTCTGGCAATGGGAGAACCAATCAACCAACCAGAAACCAATTGCGCAGTAAATAGGCAGGAAGAGATCGAGGTGGATTGGCCAAACTCTGAGGAAACAAACCGTTGTCAAGTGACACTACACGCCAGGCCATCACTCGAGTAGAACCCGACTGGGAAGTGGCGAGTTGGTTGTCAGTACGAGGGTGGAGTGACATGGAGGAGGTCATGTGAAGAGGAGATGAAAGCATGTGCACAGACGTGGAGATAGATGAAAACGTTGGCGGAGAACTGAACGCAATAGGGACGTGTGGCTAAAGCCCTATGCTCCTCTAGAAGTTAAACAAAACAATAATATACCACTCAAAGAAATCAGTAGTGTTGTTTAGTCCATTTGAAACGAGGTGATCCAATACCAAACCTCTGTTTCGTTTGTTCACGGCCCATTTCATCATCAGTGTAGTCCAGTTTTTGACTTAGCTGTGTTCAACCCCCCCCTGAAGCATTTACTATTACCTACTTGATTGACATTTATGAGGTATCAAGCAGATCACATATTGCGTGTGTGTGTGTGTGTGTAATCTGAATCATTCTGGTCCCTAAAAAGAAACTGTGATGGACCGATTTCACCTCCGCGAACTGTGTGCAGATTACAAACTACTAACTAATAATTGTCTGTGACTGGATGGATACATGACGAAGTGGGCTGAATTTCTAATGAGAAAACGTTACCAATAGGCTCCAACCAGTCGGAATCGAGCATGGAGTTCCCGTCGATGATACTGGCTGGTGCCAATCACACTAAAATCATGGGCTGGTCATTGAATCGGGTACTAGTGTCTGAATAATACACGAGCTAGCTCTTAATACTTGTAACCAGGGTTCGAAAGTTGGCGGCAGTGGGTGCATACTTCCGATGAGTTCTAAAACTGGTGGGACGAAACAGCTAGCTGTCCACTGTCTGTCTGTTTTCGACATAGAACTCTGCACAAATGTGCGGAAGTTCAAGTCGCCACATTCCCTTCACTTAGCACACAAAGCAAGAGAAGAAAGTACAAGAAAAGCATAATAGAAACAGTGAGCAGAGGTGTGAGACAAAGGAGGAGTAATAACGAAGAACAAAACAGTTTCATTGGAGATCATAAGTCACAAGGAGTGGATGCATCTGCGCTAGCCACTGAGAACGATTTTGAGCTAGCCATGTCACCAATTGTTTCCAACCATAGATTTTTACCGTCCCGAGGACCCCAGCCTGGAAGTCTACACCTTCCCACGTTGCTGGCTTAGACCAACTGTTGTGGATTTCATTGACTGGTGCCAAGTTTTTGTTTGACCGCTGCTAGCTTTTTTCCACCCTGACCCTATATCCGCTAACATTGCTCACTGTCGAGGGAGGCGATGGCTTGGCATACGTAACACATGTCCTAACCATCTCAGTCTTTGTAACTTCACGACTTCGTCGATTGATTTCCCCTCTTTACCTAGCATTCGACGCTGTCCACTAACTCCCAAGCTGGCTTTCCAATTGATTCTCTAACTAATATCAGCTCATATTCGTGTGAGAAGACTCAGGAGATATAACACAACACAACACACCACGACACCACCCCGCCCACGTCCCTACTACCCATCCATCCATCCACCCATTCGTCAATGAATACAGAACAATGTATATCAGTAATATCATGAATGTATTGCTTTTATAATTAGATAAGTGTGTGTTGTGAGTCATTGTGTGATCAATAAATCAATCAATCAATCAATTAAATAATCACTGTAAACATGATAAGAACTAATTTTTATGGAATGTGTCGACAAAAAGTTAGTTGACTAATAATAATAACAATAATAATAATAATAATAATAATGTCTGAAGTCATCAAGTACATATATAATGATGTATTCTATCCTAGTTACAGTCAAAAATACCCAACAGATGGATGGGTAAGTACAGCAAGTTGTAGGAGCAAAGGGGGGGGCATGGAGAGTGAAGTGCCACGGGAAGAACCAGAGGACTACAAGAATGAATGAATATTAGCATTACACAATAATAATAATAATAATAATAGTAATAATAATATAAATACGGTACACCGATAATTTAGTAATAATCACATATTATGCATTGAAATATCACACCAAAAGTCAGTTAGTCATATTGTCTTTTAACACAGTGTGTGATGAGTAGGAATACCAGTGATGAATGATTTGGATACCAACAAAGATGGATCATCATTATACTGTGTAAAGATGACCTCGGATTGATGATCATAAAAATTAAAGAGAATAAATAAATAAATAAATTAGTCATAATGAAAACCCTCCGTCCGCCGCTGCTCTCACAGCCACACATAGTTTCGGAGAGTACAACATAAATCAACTACCAAGTAAGACTGAAGAATAAATATGCGATTTAAAAAAAAAACTAGATGTCAGAGGGCCGGCAGGCTGGTGGAGGAACGGAAGGCAGGGGAAAGAGGAGGGGCAATAATAAGTAGAAATAGGAAATATGGTCCCCCAACAGACACACGCAAACGTGTTATCATTTCAACTTTTCTTTTTTTTCATTTTATAAATCTTCTAAATTCCTGAATCCAGCAGATATCTCTTCGTGTAGTTCATCATAGTCTCGAAGGATCTTTTCCTGGATGTTTCAAAGAAAACAGAAAAGAAAGAAATATGAGATGATATATATATATATATATAGCACAGATTCAATCTTAAGAAAGGACTACATCTGTAATTCCATCTGCATGAATATCTGTCGGGCGATCGATTCTTGACTGAATTGGTTAGGCGTCAGAGGGGTTTTTGTTACTTATCTTTGTCTACCAGGCAATCTCTGATATTCAGTGTAGAAAGGAGGTGAGCTGTTAAACAAAAGCCTGTTGGAAACGCTTTTAGTGACAAGATCCCGCCGTTGACCAACTCTATGTCCATTTAGCAATTCACCCGCTTGCTCATGTGGAGCTAGGTATATCGGTCGTTTCACTCGAGTTTTGTCCAACAGGGTGCAAGGACACTACCCCCTCTGCATGGTTACGAAGAAGAGGTGGAAGTGGAGCAATAAGAAGCGTGATCATTGAACATCTCCTTGCGATAATGATCAACCTACATCTCTATAGCCTCCGCGCCTTTAAAGTCATCTACAAGGCAAAGAGTAATTTACCTAAATCCCTATGTACCCGACTCATCTGTTGTATTGCTGAAGCCATTTTTGGCTATCGAAACAGAAAGGCCAGATCTCTGTGTACAGAAAAACGGTCGTTCAACCCCCTCCCCCCAACTTTCATGATCTTAATCCCTCCTCCATGCTAAAGTATAGTAATCCCCTGTCTGTCTGGATTCAACATAGAACTTGGCACCGAAGTGCACCAGTTCGAGTTGCCACGTTCCAAATAGCACACAGAGGTAGACAAGAAGATGAGTGAAGAGAATCAATAGAGTCTGACAAGTATAAGAGTGAAACAGAATGGGTAATGGTGGAAAGGAATATGAAAGATTACAGAGACTGAATACATCTGAGCTGTCCATTGACAACGATTTTGAGCCATGTCACCTATTGTCTCCAGCCACTGATTGATTCTTAGAGTCAGTCACGAGGGTCCCAACCCGGAAGTCTGCATCTCCCTACCTGACTCAGTTTAACTGTCAAGGATTTCATGGATTGATGGGGCCATGTTTTTGTTTGGCCACCACTTACACTTTTCCAACCTGCACCACCTATATCAGCTAGTAATGCCCGTCGGGGGAGGCGATGGTTAGGCATGCGCAGCACGTGACCTAGCCATCTCAATCTACGTAACTTTATAGCCTCGTCGGAAGAGGGAAAATTAATCGACGAGGCTACAAAGTTACATAGATTGAGATGGCTAGGTCACGTGCTGCGCATGCCTAACCATCGCCTCCCCCGACGGGCATTACTAGCTGATATAGGTGGTGCAGGTTGGAAAAGAGTAAGTGGTGGGCAAACAAAAACATGACATCAACATGGCATAGTAATCCCCAATCATATTTTAGCTGTACCAATTTTTCATTCTGTCTATTCATTTTGTAGTCTCTTCCTTATTACGTCAATTGTTACTATTATTACTATTCTCAATTTGAACTGTCCCCGGTGTTATTTCATTTGTTCCCTTTGTCATTCTAAATCAATTCTTTTGTACAACGTTAAATTCTATGCTATCAAATTTCACACAATTTTGTGCAACGTTTTTATTTTATTCGATTTGTCTTCTAATCTCATAATTGCACACTCTTTTTTAAGTTCTATCCACCCTATGAATTATTCGATATATAACATTAATTTGCTTTACCACTTGACATTTAACTACGATTATAATCACAAACATTCTAGTTTTTTAATTGCAATTCATACTGCTATTATTATTATTTTATGCATTCACACCTATGATTCAATTCCTCAACGGATATAACTTCTTAAAAAACCATATATATACGATTGTACAACTTCATGATAAATTCGTTGTTGAAAAGAGTCTCTTTGCTGAATCATCACTTGTTTTGATTTTCTATATTTTATATCCTCAAGAGTTACTTTGTAGACGTGGATTTGATCTGTTTCAAGTTTGACCATGGATTGATATCAGTTAGAGAGAACCATTGAAAAAACAAGCAGGGATTCCTGGACAGTTGTTAGCTGTTTCTTATTCGTGTGCGCGACTCACCCACCGCCAGGACGTACCCACACTCATTGGTGGCGGTGTATCGTTTTACCTGCAGAAGTTGGAATTCATGACCTGGTGGTTGTTGGATCGGGGGTCCCATTGGCTCCTCAATGGTCTATGAGTTTCCCTCGTAGCCAGAAGGTCCTGGATTCGAAGCCTGGCGGCGGGCGAGGTGGGGACTGGCGACTAGTTCCAAACTAAGACAAAACAACCTGGCCGTCTGTCTAGTACTCCCTGTTGATTTTCAATGGTTCTCCAATTGACATCAATCCTTGGTCAAACTTAAAAAACAAATCATATACACGCCTAGGAAACTAACTCATCGAAATATTTCGATTCCTTTCTGTTTAAATGTTTTTTTCCCTGTTTTTATTTCTTGTGTTTCAGGAGAACAACAAAGTAAGGCTTCAAAAGCTTTAAGAATGACAGTTTCTTACAGAATGGGATTGCTAGCTTCAATTGCTCACTCCATTCCCCTCCGACTCCACGTAATTCCAGGTTCGGGAGGAATAAACACGAGAAAATTAGGTAGACTTTAGGCCAGGAATAGGATTATATTGATCATATCTTCGGGCTTCAACAGATTCTGGAATATAGTCATACTTACCATCGGTGTCCAACAATCGTCATATTTCTTGACTTGAAGACAGAATTCGATTCAATTGACCGAGATAAAGATGTTTGGCTGTGAAGCGAACGCCAAGTAAATACATTGCACTGATCAAGGAACTCAGTCGGCCAGGTGAGATCCTATGAAGAGTTGTCATCTGGTAACTGTAATGGCAAACAACAGTGTCCACAATCAGGGAGGCCATGCCCACCGATGGCATTAACCCTAACTAACTTCAGTGACTTAGGGATTGACTTGTTATCAGTCACAGAATAATCTCGTTGACTTGGAAGACACTGGTAAACACTCTGAGGAGAAATCCTCCTAGGTTTGTTGCTGTATTTGCTCCAGTTAAAAGTAAGATACTTACTTACTTTACTTTACTTCGGCTATCTCCTACGGGAGGATGAGTCGGCTTCATGAACCATGAAGTTTCATGGGAATTAGGTACGAGTGATGTCCCCATCATCGCTCGGCCTTTTCTTTGAGAGTGCAGCTCTAGCCTTTACACAACCAAGTGTGACCTACAAGGCAGTAGGAGTGGAGTAGGGAGTCCACTATCCATTGGGAGCCAGCCGGTGACCGGAGTCCGGTTCATTCGCCTTTGTGAATGGGGCCAGTCATCCAGGGCATCCAATAAGCCCTTTGTCCATACGTCTCCCGGTGAGCTTCATACGCCAGTCGTTGGAGGTTTGGAATCAGGGTTTAGCCATCTCCCTTAGACTGACATCCAATGGACAGTCAACCCGGTGATGAGCGCCGGGCATCCGCTTTTGCCCTCTCACTTCGGTGAAATAAACACCTCCGCCACGTGAAGGCAGTGAGTAGGACTTCCTCAGGAGAGGCTATGTAAGACGCCCGGTCATATGGGAGCATTTCAAGAGGTGTACGGAAGGGTGGCCAACCCGCAGCGCAAAATGTAAGATGCTGCTGCAGGACTACACCATACCGACTTCTAGCTTAAAGATAGAGAGTGAATTGGTTGATGGAGCGCATTGAATATTTCACTTATTTGGGAGAGCTATACTACGGGAATACTACACAAGTGTTTCATCCTAGTTTCAGGAATGCTCCAACAGCACATGGGATGGATAAGGTAAAAAAAAGAATAGAGATCAAACCAAAACGTGGATTCATCAGTCAATCAAATCCATAACAGCCAGTTTCAGCCAGCCACACTGCCACGTAGGGGGAGGTGTTAAATCCCTCATTGGTTGGCGTCCTCGGAATGGTAAAAGCCAAACCAGTTGCAGCAAGCAATAGGTGGTATGGCTCAAAAATCGATCTCAATCGATATAGCATAGAGGCATCCACTCATTGTGATTCATAATATCCAATAAAATTCTAATTGTTCTTCCAGGTTTATTGTACTTTTCGCCTCATCTCTTTTAAATCTCTGTTTATTCTCTTCAGCTGCTTTTGTGTGATAAATGGAAGGAGAGTGTGGCAAGTCGAACTAGTGCAAATCTGAGCAGTTCTATGTTGAAACCAGACAGTCAGACTTACAATAGACTAGTAAACTAGTCAAAGTTTAGAAGTACATCAGGAAGAGAAGATCAAGCTTCGGACCATGTTAAGTATGACTGGCAAACATTTCATCATTGAATCACAGACGCATAAAATACAGTCGCTAATATATATATATATACATATATAACGATTCATTAATAACCCATATTCATGGAGATGGATTATTAGCCATACTCTGAGAAAACAAACCATCAATTGACATCACATGCCAGGCCATCGCTCGAGTGGAACACCAATGGGAAGCCGCGAGTTCATGGTTGGTGCGATTTTCGGATTGTGAGGCGATTGTTACTTCCCGGCTGCCCACACCGTGGAAGTTGGTTGCGTGACCGCAGAGCCCAGGGGACAACTGCTTGAGGCCGGTCACACGCGGCCTGTTTTTGTTCGTTCTTTTTTGTTTGATGTGTCTCAGTAGCAGATTTATCACTCCTGCCCTGTGACACGGCAGCAGGAAGCGCGGTCGTTGTTAATCCGGGCCACGGCCGATCCGGCATGAAATTTTGTGAATTTGTTTGGATCATGGTATTGAATGAGGTAGCTGCTTTTTGTTTAACCGCTATCCAAACAACCTGCCTGGCATGGTAGAACCTCAAGAGACATAAGTCTCAGCCAGTATAGCTTGATTAGGTCATTGCGGTGTTCAAGCCCGACCACCACGTCAAGGTAGAAGCTTTCGGTCGGGGGTTGGTGCGATGGTGATATTGAAGGAAGAGGAGATGGGAGGATGTGGGCAGACGTTAAGTCAGGTGAATAGGTTGGTGGAGAACCGAACGCAGTGGAAATGAACAAAAGAAGACAATAATCATATTCATGTACTACAAAACTGGGTACACGTGAAACGTTTCATAAAAGCAACATAATCCAACAAACAATAAAGGTAAAGATAGAGACACACAGAGAGAGAGGATGAAAACAACCCCGACGCGGTTACACTTACTTTTCCATCAGCTTTAGGATCTTTAAATTTCATACTAGACACCTTGTAAATAGTTTGACCCATTGCTTCACGTATTAATGCCCACGTGACACGACGATCGGATTGAGCAGTGACTTCAACAGCATGTCTTGCTTGATCATAAAAAGCGATAATATTTTTCATCATACCAACTGTTTTATAAAATGGACAGAATCTAAAATTTTTGACAAAAAAAAAGATTTTTAAGAGAAAAGAGAGAAACAGAAGAAGAAATGAGTAAAATAATTAATTAGGCAAATCAGACGACGCAACTCCAAGAGTGTTGTGTCTTTTAAGACTATCCACACCGTGAGACTAGCTTCATACATTGTATGTGAATATTCCACGTTCCGACTCTTATATTTGCTTTCATTGAAAGAAGGCTTTCGTCGTTTTTAGTGGACACAGAGTGAAGAGGGAGTGAGGAGCCATCAAGTAGAGGAGTTGCATCACTGGGGGGAAGGCAAGGTAATAGAGATGAAGATGAAGACAAAGATAAGTGAGGATTAGAGAGGTTTTGTGTGCATTTCGGATTGTGAGGGCGTTTGTTACTTCCCGGCTGCCCACACCGTGGAAGTTGGTTGCGTGACCGCAGAGCCCAGGGGACAACTGCTTGAGGCCGGTCACACGCGGCCTGTTTTTGTTTGTTCTCTTTAGTTTGGTGTGCCTCAGTAGTATACTTATCACTCCCGTCCTGTGACACGGCAGCAGGAAGCGCGGTCGTTGTTAATCCGGGCCACGGCCGATCCGGCATGAAATTTTGTAATTTTGTATTGGACATGATGTTGGATTGGGTAGCTGCTTTTTGTTTAACCGCTATCCAAACAACCTGCCTGGCATGGTAGAACCTCAAGAGACATAAGTCTCAGCCAGTATAGCTTGATAATGTCATTGTGGTGTTCAAGCCCGACCACCACGTCAAGGTAGCAGCTTTCGGTCGGGGATTGAAAGAAGACATATCGGCTGGCTGGCTTTCCGCAAGGGGGGAGGGGAGGTTACACCCCCCCAGCGTTATTTCAGCCCTCCAATATTCTAAAGAAAAATAAAGTTGCCTTTTCCATTATTTTGTATTTTTAAATTTTTTCATGTGCGTTAACGTTTGTGTAGCAGTTTGATATGTTTCCCGGAGTACGGGTCGCTAGCTCCACGCACAAACCTTTCTCTTTTTCCAAGGCTTGGGAATTGCTAGGCGAGATTTGGCGTGGGATGGTGCCAAAGGTTACTGGCTTCATTATTTAACTAGAAAGCATCGTTCCAACTACAAGCGACAGTACGGGTGATGTCAAAACCAGCCGGAATCAAGAAGACAAGGAACACCCACGATATTCTCAAATCAGTTTGGAAATCTTCTACACTCACAGCCAGCATATTAAGTCAGTCAATTCCTCACAATATGGGTCAGAAATTTAGTCAGCGTGTCACAAGAGGCAGTTTTAACAGGCTCCTGCGGGCTTTTATCACAGCTGTCCACTTCACTGGCTCCATCATACTGAAGATCATCAAATGGCCAGTTGGCCGGCCAAAAAGAACACACCAACCAAGAATCTATTCACCGACAAACAGGGTACAAGAAAATGGAGATGGATTGGACACACACACCACTGACATTGCTAGAGTGAAACCCCAGTGGGAAACGACAAGTGGGTCATCCGAGGGTGGTATGGAAAAGATTGTATAATGAGGAGGAGGAGATGACAGATCATGGGTGATTGTAGGCCCGGTTGAAGAGGACAGCAGAGAATAGAACAAAGTGGAATAATGTTGTTGTCAGCTCTGTATTCCACTCGGAACCCACCCAAGGGATCAATAATAATAATATTAATAATACACAGCGAGATCAAAGGGTATAAGGCGTGTTAGGTCTCGACAACTTCTGTATTCCAAGGAGGTGGTATCAAAATTTGAGTACAGAAAAGTGTTTCCCCGGTCTCTTATTCTCCCTTAATTGTGTTCACCTTTATTTTTATTAATAAATTCACCATTATCACTCTGTTACGTGTTCCTTTTGTACATTTTCTCATCCTATTCACATTTTTCAAGTGAACACCCAACTACTCCAAGTCTGCGTCAAAAAAATCTCAACCTTCATTGTTCTACTGACTACTACACGTAACTGACAACAAGTTTGACCATGAGCTGACATCTCGGTTAGGAAACCCATTGGTAAACCATAGAGTACCACCAAGGAGAACTAGGGTTCTGTTCTTGCGTGGGACTTTCCAAACAGTACGCAATCCCAACCTTCCAGTCACAGAGCAAGAGAGCTCTTAGATCATTCACAGCCACGCGGACTCAATCCAATAGGCCTACGAATTCCAACTGCTGCTAATTCGCACAAGCGGCAACTTATATATGTCGTAAGCGAGTGACTGTTCTCCTGCCCGATTTGGTGTATCCCTGTGGTTACGACGACCATGATACTGACTAGCAGATGTTGGAACTCATGGGCCAATGGATCAGGTACAAGTAACTGACTGGTCAACGAGGTAGGCAACCGAAAAGCCACGGGGTTCGAATCCCAGCGGAAGCGCACTGATGAAGAGTCCCAAACTGCGACGAAACAGCTGTCCAGTACGTCTCCTATCGAACTCATTCACATACCTAACTCGTCACAACGCGTTCAGTTTCTCATTTGACATTCGGGCTGACGCCCGATGTCGCTGAATGATCTTTTCAGTGTATTTTCAATTAATCGATCTCCATCCCTCTTGGTATATTTGTCAGACAATAGGTTACCTGCCTGTGTTATATATACCACTAGATACTATGAGTACATGACAACTACTCGTCGAGAAGAAACAATAACAGTTACTGAGTAGATTAAGGAAATGAGGATTACTCATTTTAGGGAAATAGACGATCTATTCAACTCAGAGAGTCGAATCCCATTGAAATCACTTCAAATGAATTCAGTTAATATATTGATTTCACAGAAAGAGACAGGATTTGAATCCGTACGTGTCCTATGAAAAAATTGGTGGCTGACTACGTTTGCGTTATGTGCTGCTGCTGAGTGGTTAATCGTAGTTTTCCCCGTCGCCAATTATGTTATGTACTCGTCGAGTAGTTAATAGTCCTGACGCGGGAAGAGGGAAATCAGAAGATCACGAGGTTTACGATGATACTTGTATTTTCCAGACAAGGAAAATAAATGTCACACAAGTGTGTGAGTGAAATGGTACGTAGTGTACGAAACGTGGGAACAAGAATGATAAAGCAAGAGTATATATGAAAATGGCTAATACACATGAACCAATAAGATAACGTCTTACCATGATTAGTTGTAATGTCATGTGATAATAAGGTCATACATTGTTTATTTAGTTAGTGGACAGACAAAAGCATAATGTCAGTTATAATGGAATATCGATCCATATACACATAGCAAAATATAACAGACTGTCAAAAACAAAACACACATCATGTGGATACACATCAGTTTGGTAGGCAATTCAATTAGTAGAAGGCGCAATGGGAATAGACTTAGCAGATGGTTGTAGCGGAAACTGGGAAGGAACTTTGACTGGAGCTAGATTTCGTGCTTAACTGGTACTCCTCAGTCAATCAGCAAGACGCCTGTGTCTGCCTACAATCTCGAAGGAATCGACATCCCTTTCGAGATCTATACCCACGTCACCCAGTGTTGATGAAGTCAAACATGTTACCACTATCAGTGAAGCATTACATGCACACATATGCAAGTAAAAAAGGAAACAAATGATACCACAATTGATTTTACCTGTCATAAGATGAATAGCCGTTTTGCTGTAGAAAGTCATCTTTTATTATGCGGGCAACTTCCAGGGTGATTTTATCTGCTTCAGCAAGAGATGCCTACAAAAAAGTTAGGGAAAAAATAACCTTGTACGACTTCAAAAACAAACATATTAGATAATGACAAGATGACACCTTCTTATGATCTGAAGGGAAAAAACCTGCAAATCAATAAAAGCTGAATGGATAAAGATCAAACATGATCATCTGTTAGGGAAGAACCACTAACTGACTGCTTTCAAGATATAACTTTGCACCGACGTGCAGCAGTTCAAGTCACCGCACTCCATGTAGCACACAAAGCAAGAGAAGAAAGTAGAAGAGATGCATAATAGGGACAGTAAACAGAGATGTCAGACAAAGGAATAGTAATAACGAGGAACAATACAGTTTCATTGGAAATTATAAGTCACAAGGAGTGAATGCATCTGCGCTGCGCCATTGAAAACGATCTTGAGCTAGAGATATCACCAATTGTTTCCAACCATTGGTTTTTACTGTCCCGAGGACCCCAACCGGGAAGACTGCACTTTCCTACGTGGCTTAACCTAACTGTTGTGGATTTGATTGACTAAGCCATGTTTCTGTTTGATCACCACTGGCTTTCTCTTTTTCAACCTGATCAATTATATGCCAGCTGACATTGCCCGTCGAGGAATGGCTATGGCGATGGTTAGGCATGCGTAACACAAGTCCTCACCACCTCACCACCTTATTATCCCAACACTTAACACAGGAGATAGAACGCAGACACCTATGATCGAAGACATTTAGCTAGCCTTTTCATGTCTTCCACTTTCGAAGGCCATGTCTCAAATCCATAAAGGAGGACAGAGAGAACCGTTGAGCAGTACACACACCATTTGTTCAACAGCAGGATATCACGAAGAACCACTGAAAACCCTAAGAGAAATGGACAGATATTTTGCGCTAGCATTGTGCGGTATGCTACTGATAAAATTTATCAATAGTATATACATAAAGAGATGCTCATCTGCCGGCAGAAAAACATCAAATAGCAAGGAGATAGATTTGGTCTCAGAGAAAGCAAATGATACAGCGTCGTGGAGAGAGATGAATAGAAGACGTGAAAGAAATACAAACAAACACAATATGAAGGAAGGCCAGAAGTAGCACAACACGGAAGATTTTTGTAAATGGTGCAATGAAGATAAGGTAGGCATAATTTCGCTATATAAGGATACCAAATTATAAACAAACATTCCTTTATCAAGTCTCTCGTCTATCTACCGTTACAGTATGAGTCACTCTAACAGTACTCACGTATGATCCTACCACACAGAGTAATCCCGAGATATTCTCAAATGATGACACAAGCACATTAGCACTCAGCCATTTGAAGTCAGAAATCAGAAATTTCAACGTCTGTCAATTTTCCAAAATCATTGACTACTGAGTTTATCATGTCTTCTCATCTCATAACTCAAAATCAATTGAACCTCAAGAAAATCAACGCTTGAGAATGTCATTCATTCAATGGCCATTACATAATGCGTGATTTTGGATAAAATTGGAGAAGTAATTAAGAAATAAGTGAGTGCTCAAATTGATTGCGTAACAAGCAGTCAAAAGAATAAAATTATTAAGATAAAAGAATAAAATAATTAAGATAATGATATTATGTAAAATGCTTAGGGGGGAGGGTGATATTGTCAAGGTTTTCTTATATTCATTTAACGATAGCCAAGGTAAGAAAATAAAACCGGTCTGGCTTTTTTGCAGGTGGATTCCGATGACATTAACTGCATACATAGATGACGAATTCGTTAAGTAAAATTAACATTGATCAGAATGCGATAAATAAATGCAAATTCGTTATTAATAATACTCTTATGCTCGCTATATATCTACAAAGTGTGGTGAAATGAAACTACGAATAGGATTTTTATGTATCCCTTGCTTAACCACTATGCACATTTCGTCCTATCTGGAACTCGTCAGGTAGTGGATGTACCTTCATTTCCTAGTGGGTAGGTGATAGTGTTCCCACCGGGCTCGAAACAATTGTCCGTAGTTTCAAGCGTCAAAGCACTATCCATTTGATCACTTGGGCCACAAGAGTCACCACGAGTCTTATTAATTATTGAGGAGTCCTAAAAAGGACGAAATGCGCATCCCGGCCGGATTCCACTGCTAGCACTCACCACCCACCAATTGAATTCAAGTTACACGACTAGACATTATCGTCGAAGCATCTGCACAAGGAGGAGCCGATGCATGTCAACCTGAGACCGAGACCTTCGGTTCATTCAATCGGTGGGAAAATCTTAAATACGGTCAATGTAACTATAACTGTACAGGAGCAGTTAAACTGGCAGAGATGCACTATAAAAGGGTAAAAGAGGTCGAAATTAAACAGTTTATTCTTATTTTTAAAATGTATAAAATTGTCTAGGGGAAAGGTTCCAACTACACACCACCACCAACACCAACAGGTACAATAACCCACAAACGCCAACAGGAATTACCAACAACAACAACAACAATAACCAGTAGACTTACTTTTCCAACTAATTGTACAATTTCAGAGAGTTCTTCTTCTTCTTGTAGAATTTCTTGCATTTTAGTCCGTAAAGCAACAAATTCAGGGAAATGACGATCATAATAATCATCCAGTGTACGTAAATACTTTGAATAGGATATAAGCCAATTAACGCTAGGAAAGTGTTTACGTTGAGCTAACTTTTTGTCTAATCCCCAAAATACCTACATATAAGAAAGAAAGAAAGAAGAAATAAGGGATATATATATATATATAAAGCAATCAAATATTTGTCCTGTATTTATAGAGTCCCCCGACGGGCATTACTAGCTGATATAGGTGGTGCAGGTTGGAAAAGAGCCAGTGGTGGCCAAACAAAAACATGGCCTCATCAATCCATGAAATCCTTGACAGTTAAACTGAGTCAGTCAGGTAGGGTAGGAGATGCAGACTTCCGTCCGGGTTGGGGCCCTCGGGACTGACTCTGGGAATCAATCAGTGGCTGGAGACAATAGGTGACATGGCTCAAAATCGTTGTCAATGGCCAGCGCTGATGTATTCAGTCTGTGTAATCTTTCATATTCCTTTCTACCATTACCCATTCTGTTTCACTCTTATACTTGTCAGACTGTATTGATTCTCTTCACTCATCTTCTTGTCTACCTTTGTGTGCTATTTGGAACGTGGCAACTCGAACTGGTGCACTTGGGTGCCAAGTTCTATGTTGAATCCAGACAGACAGTATTTATAGAGAAAACAAAAGTGGTGATGAAGATTCCTGGGCAAATACAACAACAGACAACAATCAGCCAGCATAAATGGGAGGAACCTGAAAGAAACAACCTCCTTTACCTGCCTACCTGGAAAGCATCGTTTCAACTACAGGCAGACGGAATTGACGAGGATATCAAAGCAGCGAGGATCGGGAAAGCAAGACAAGCTTTCATTACTCTCACCAAGTCTGTGTGGAGGTCAACAGCCCTACTCAGCATCAAAATGAGGATAAGATCCGGATTTTCAACTTCAATATGAATTCAGGGGTACTTACTACACAGATCAGGGACTTCGTGCGTCATAAAGAGCACCTCAAACAAACTGCAGACATTCATCAACAGCCAGCAGTCTTTGCTCAATACTACTCAACATCAGATGGCCGACAGAAAAGATCAACAACAGGGAGGGATCTCTGGGAGCAAACAAAGTAGGAACCGATTGTGCAATAAATAAGCAGGAAGAAATGTAGGTGGATTGGCCATATTCTGAGAAAACCGTCAAGTGACATCACACGCCAGGCCATTGCTCGAGTGGAACCCGAAAAGGAAGTGGAGAATTAGTTAGTCGTCAGTGCGAGGGTAACATGGTGGAGGTTATGTGAAGAGGAGATGAAAGCATGTGGGTAGACTTGGAGCTAGGTGAAAATTTTAGCAGAGAACCGAAAGCAAAAGAGACGTGCGGCCGAAGCCCTATGTTCCTCTGGGAACTAAATCAAATATTTGTCCTGTATTTCAGAAAATATAAAATTATACATGCCTACCAATGCAAAAAAAAGCTGGCGCAGAATAATGCTCTTGACAACGCCATACAAAATATGAAGTCGTCTCATCTTGGACAGACTAAAAGATGCTTTGGATAGCAAACTCTGCCCACCGGAAGAAGATGAATTCAGGAAAAGAAAATTATGAACGGATTAAATCACAGTGCCACGCATCATCATCATAGAACAGAGCAATGACTTTGAGGAAGCTTCCGACAGCATTGACTATGAAGTGTGATTTGGAAACTGCCTAAACACTATATGCAGTGCATTGACGTAAACTCATTCTTTCTATAGTTTGGTTTGTAAGGATTAGTTATGTTTTACGGGTTGATCACGGATTGATATCAGTTAGAGAACCATTGAAAACCAGGGAGTACTGGACAGCTGCTGTTTCATCCTAGTTTGGGAATCATCGGCAGTACGCACCCACTGGGATTCGAACCCGGGACCTTCCGGTTACAAGGCAAGCTCGTATACCATTCAGCCACTGGGACCCGATTCAATGGCTCGTGAATTCTAACTTCTACTAATTCGTGATTTAGCGCGACCCCAGTGACTGAATGGTATACGAGCTTGCCTTGTAACCGGAAGGTCCCGGGTTCGAATCCCAGTGGGTGCGTACTGCCGATGATTCCCAAACTAGGATGAAACAGCAGCTGTCCAGTACTCCCTGGTTTTCAATGGTTCTCTAACTGATATCAATCCGTGATCAACCCGTAAACTCATTCAACAAATATAATGATGTTGATGATGAAGTCACATATCAAGTGTCATGGAAGTATAAACAGGAGTAAGACAAGACTGTCTGCTATCACTTTCCTCCCCCCTTCCCTCCCATCCGCCACGATATTCCTGATTGTGGTGGACTGAATTATGTAGGAGAAAGAAAACAGGAATATGTCGAACCAACAAGAAGACTCCATAAAACTAATAATTCGTGGATGATTCAAGTCTAATGTCACACACACACACTGGGAGTATGTATAGGCGAAAATCAACAGTTGGGCAGGACAAGTGCCCAAAAAAAGCACTTTAAGTGAACATATAGAGAAGACAGAGGTGATGAAGATACCTTCGGTTCTTACCATCCCGAGGACGCCAAACAAACTGTAGAAGACAGCTGCTCCTGACGTTGTCTTGCGGATAAGACTCCAAGTCAAAGGGTCGGGGAGTGGTCCCTTAAAAAAAAACCACCTACTTCGGTCTGGGCGCCCGCGCAGTATCTCAGCCCTCACACAACAAATGAAGTAAAACAAACTGAAGGGTCCTGGATTCAACCCTTAGTGGAAGCGTAGCGCTGAAGAGTCCCAACGGAAGGTGAAATGACTTTCCAGTATACCATGGTCTTCAGTAGTTCTCTAACTAACATATCAGTTTGTAGCCATATTTGAAGTGAATGACACAGGTAGGTAGGTAGGTAAGTAGGTGTACAAACAATGATCACCTTATATATACACGTATCGATTATGATTGTGTAATCACCAACTTTACTCTGTTTGAATAGTTGGGTTCTTATCTCTTAGCTAACAAGTATGATTATAATAATAATAATAATAGTAATAATGATACTTTTTTCGGATTTGTGCAAATAAAAGTGGTGTTAAAAATCGTATCACAACTGGAACCGGCACTCAACACACATACACACACACACGATGAGTAGTATCCAAAGTACAGTTTAGATAATGACTACAATTCAAAGGTTGCGTAAACTGATAAGTAAAATAAAAGCTGAGCTGACGATTTAATTGACATATATTCTCGACATTTATAATAATAATAATAATAATAATAACAGTAATTGTTAAATCAGAAAGTTTAAAGGTCAAATTGACGGAACAGAAAAATCAGACAGTGTGTGCATAATAAGTTTACGTGTGACTACTTTATTCGATATTGGTCAGCACAACATACATGGTCAACAATGGCTTTGCAATGATAGTAATGATAATAATAATAATAGTAAATCGGTAATATTAGATTTTGGAGTGATTGGATTTATCCACAATAGTCTGTCTCTCTGTCTGTCTGGATTCAACATAAAACTTGGCACCCAAGTGCACCAGTTCCAGTTGCCACCTTCCAAATAGCACACAGAGGTAGACAAGAAGATGATAGTGAAGAGAATCAATACAGTCTGACAAGAATAAGAGTGAAACAGAATGGGTAATGGTAGAAAGGAATATGAAAGATTACAGAGACTGAATACATCTGCGTTGACCATTGACAACGATTTTGAGCCATATCACCTATTATCTTCAGCCATTGATTGATTCCTAGAGTCAGTCCCGAGGGCCCCAACCCGGAAGTCTGCATCTCCTACCCTACCTGACTGACTCAGTTTAACTGTCAAGGATTTCATGGATTGATGAGGCCATGTTTTTGTTTGGCCACCACTTACCCTTTTCCAACCTGCACCACCTATATCAGCTAGTAATGCCCGTCTGGTGGGGGAGGCGATGGTTAGGCATGCGCACCACCTGACCTAGCCATCTCAATCTATGTAACTTTATAGCCTCGTCGATTGATTTTCCCTCTTTGCCTGCCCAACACTCTACGCCTAACGTCAACATTACTTACCTTATTAAACCAACTAAACTGAGAGAGATCGCAGACATCTATGATCGAAATCAGTCAACCTTTTCATGTCTTCAACTCGTATTGGCCATCCACCATATTAGATTAACTTTAAAGGATAAATTATGTTTGGTTGCTGAATGACCGCCTGACTCCAGAAGGTGTTCACAAATTGAAGACTTTGTCATCCTTTGCTCACCTTTCGTTAAACAAACTGGGTGGTGGTTACGCGTTTACAAAGAACACGCTTACAACGTCCAATGTAATCAGCAGCTCCACACGAGTATGTCAATGAGTATATACGCATACAGGTGATGGACATAGGCGACAGTTTATCCTTAAAGCACTGTCGAATCATATTTAGGGCTGGTAAATACTAAATATAAGTCAGCTGCATGAAAACACCATTTCATAAATTTAGATAAACGACTTCTAATTACTTCAGAAATACTATCACCTTTGAAAGCCAAACTCATAAGAAGAGTGGAATTCCACATTTTACTTCTTAGATGTGATGTTCGACAGAAGAGAGGACAGCACGTTAAAAAGGTTGATCTACCGAAAGCCAGCTAAACACGACCGCACAGAGAGCAGGATGAAATGGACATTTCCTACTTGAAGCCCTATATTCAACTCGGAATTTAAAAGGAAAAATAATAATAGTTCATAGAATTAAATTATTCAAACCTGTCAAACTTTAACGATACACACACACACACACACACACACACAAATATCACAAACCTGAACAATACTCAGTGTAGCTGATGTAACAGGATCAGCAAAATCACCACCAGGTGGTGATACAGCGCCTACAATACCAACTGATCCATAACGTAATTCTGGTCCACCAAGACAATGTACACGACCAGCACGTTCATAAAAGCTATAGGGAAAAAAGAGAAAATAAATCAATATTTTTAAGTAACTGTAATATATATGATAATAACAAGTTTTTTTTTTATAATGAGACATCTGACTGACTGGATGGCTGAGTTTCAACATAGAACTATTCACAGAAGTGCAGCAACAATACAAGTTCCACCATATTAGTTTGTTTATTAGACAGTGGTTCTCTAACTGATGTCAGCTCATGGTGAAATCCTCCATAGAATCAAACAAAATCCCTACAAAACCAATACTTGAATATTAGATATATCACACAGTCAGTGAAACAGTGTTATTATTTACTGGATGACAGTTTCGAACACAATTTATTGCTGTTCATTATCATATCGTCAGGTATAATCACACGATTTCGAAACTTGAGTTTTATAGTTTTTTTTGTCCTCTCCTATTTGTCATCGTTGGAGTAGTAGAATCTTCCATATATCTGGCTAGACAGGTGCTGAATCATTCCTATTACATGTGTTCTCTCTCAGTTGATTCAATAAATAAAGCTTCTGTTATCAATCTCACCCTCCCTACACCCTGTGAAATTAGATCTTAAAACTGTCAGCCTATCCCATCCATTCTATGGTATGGTTGTGTGTAACTGCATGTAGTGAGTGGTATAGCTTAACTATTCTCTAGATTTCTTATCTTATTCGGATTAACTAATCTAGATTTCGCTGCTAGGCTTTTATCCTCGGCTAGTCTGAATGTCCCTGTTCTACTAGTTTGACCTATGTATTTGACCTCACTGCCAATCATTGCAGACAAAGTATTAGATAAACTAAATTGTTTTGCTTTAAAGGCCCCACTGTTAGGATTGATCCTTTAACCTACAAAGCTTGTTTCTAATTGAGTTTGTGGGTGACTTGAATGCCAGTCACTTTTATTCCTGCCTGCCTTGTTAAGAACTCTCCGGCGTAAGGTTCCCGAGGTTTCTTCCTTGTATGGAATTATTATTGATGATTTAGATTCCTCATTGTTGATGTTGTCTTGCGCATATTTGACATTACTTACTACCACCACAGGGACCAAGTTTTACACATATAATAACAATTCAAGTTATCCCTCTTCTTCACATATAGTGCAAAAAGGTAAAGAAACGTCAATAGAAGAAAGACATCTTTATCAAGTTTATTCAACAGCTGGGTGTATATATGACAATTCCATATGTCAGGTGATCCACACAGCAGGGAACTCAGAGAATCTTTAGACGTGAATACAAGAGAGTAAGACAAGGTGGCTCCCTATTATCACTCACGATGATATTCCTAATTGTTGTGGACTGGATTATGCGTTAGACTGTTCACACGTAGAAGATCTGGATTTTACAGGTGATTTGTGTTTAATGTCACACAAACTCGAAGACTTACAGACGAAAAGCAAAAAACTGATTGAATAGTCAGACAGCGGAGACAGGACTCCAGGAGGTGATGAGTATAACTAGCCAACCAACCAACCAACCAACAGCAACAAAAACAACAATCAGCACCGATCATCTTTAGTGGGATGAATCTGAATGAGGTTACTTCCTTCACTTATCCAGCAAGGAAGCACGAGCTCAATCACAGGCAGTCAGAACGGATGAAGACGTCAAAACTATCTAGAATTGGAAAGGCAAGATACGCCTTCATCAACCTGAAAACAGTTTTGAAATCTTCTGCACTAACTCAGAGTCAGCGTAAACAAAAAGATTCGGATCTTCAACACAACGTTAAGTCAGTCAGTCAGTCATTTCTTCAATATGAGTCGGATACTTGGTGCAAACGCCAAGAAAAAATTTCCATTTTATCAACAGCTGCCCCCTTCGCTGGCTGCGTATGGAAGATCTAATGGCTGGCCGGGAAGGATTAGCTACGAGAAACTCTGGGAACAAACTAACCAAGAAACCGTGACCAGTAGGGTGCAGCAGGTCGGGTATGAGGACAAATACTCGCCACCGAAGACATTGGCTAGGGGTCGCGTTATGTCGTGAATTGGCAGAAGTTAGAATTCATGGGCCATTGGATCGGGTCCCAGTGGCTTAACGGTATATGAACTCGCCTTGTAACCAGAAGGTCCTAGACTCGAGCCTCGGTGGATGCGTACTGATGAGGAGTCGCAAACTAAGACGAAACAGCAGCCCAGTACTCCAGGTTTTCCAATGGTTCTCTAAATAATGTCAGCTCATTATGAAAATCCTGTAACCAAGAAACTATCGCCCAACCAATATGCAGGAGAAAATGGAGATAGATCGGGTATATGCGCCACTGAGGAGGCTGATGAATGATATCGCGCGCCAGTCGGGTCATTGGTCGATCGGAACCCGAATGCGAAATGATGATGAGAGTTGGGAGTCAATGTCTGAGTGTGACATGGAGGAGGAGTTGAGAGACCGTAGGCAATCGTGGACCCAGCTGAAGAGGACCACAGACAATAGGTCGAAGTGGAGATGTGTTGTTGAGGCTCTATGTACCACTTGGAACCCTAGGGAATAAATAACAAATGAGAACATATAAATTATACAACCAGTACATTTACTCCTTTCAGAATCTACACAAACTATACATACGCTAGAAAATATGCCACAGTGACACTATGATAACCTGATCTAAACATAAAACGAGATCATTAACATCCTAGAAGAGATCAGTCACTTCATCAAAAGGAGAAATTAGGAGGGAGACAGAAGACGGTAACCTAGAAAAGCTCTACAAAAGCATAACCGACTTCCTCTGAACTCAGGCCATTGTCATTTCCTTTAGTTCTCTAAACGGGACATAGGGATTCAACAGCATATCTCTATTTCACTTGGTCTCATCTGAAATTATTTTTTGACTGGCTCAACAACTGTCCATTGACTTTCAACTCTTCCATAGACGATCTTCGAGTTGCCAAAAGGACGCCCAATTCATCGTTTCACATTCGATTTTCAGTCGATTACCTGGCACGTGACGTCACTCTTAATCATCTCCTCAACGTATAAGTCAAATAGGTTTTCCGATTGATTTGTTGCTTGAATTCCTCGTTGGTCATCGTTTCTGATCATCTGACCTTCAGTATGGAGTCAGTGAAGTGGGCAGCTGTTGATGATAGACAGCAGTAACCTGTTCAAAATGCTTTTCATGACGCACAAGCCAAGTCTCTCAATCCATTGATTTATTATTTATTTATTTAAACGCAGAAAAAAACTTGGTACAATATGGCACCAAGAAGATGCGCCACACAATAATAATAGGTGGAGAAGGAATAAAGAACTTCACCTGGAAGGAAAACAGTCACGCTTAACAAGTTCAAATAGCATTCGTCAACTATCATCGGGAAGGGAAGAAGGAAGGAAATTGCAGTACGACGTTCGCCATTGATGACCACGACTCTTGGCCATATCTGATAACGTTTCGAGTCATCGACTTGAGCTATCTCTCGGACTCCAAGCAGGGAGTTGTGACGCACCAGTTGATGCCAACCTAACACAAATATCCTTCATCCTACGAAGTCACATCACAAGCTGACCACCTCTCCACCTCTTCCATCCCGTCATAGGGTTAGGGAAAAGAGACCAGTACGGAAGCCTCTGTGATGACATCCGTAGCGCATGACTAAGCAACCTTGCGAAGCCGCTTTTTCAGATGACAACGACACTCAACGAATGGTGATCCCCACTGTGTCCGAACACACACACACCGCCAGACCTCAAAATTAGTCACACATTGATGCCGTCGAACGAAAGCAATCCTGCAGAGATAGCGAATACGCAGAGCCGTAGCACATCCCCATCCCAATCAGAGAAGCCAGGTTTCACATGAGTAGAGTAAGACAGTATGCACCAAAGCATTGTATACCCTACCTTTGACAGCCATGCTGACGTCGCGACGGCTCAATAATAGGTGGCTCAAGTTGATGCATACTAACCTAGCCTTCATGATACAGTTGAAAATCACATCCGTCAGCACTCACACAACTACAGAGATACGCAGACTTACCAACAACTATTTAGAAGAAGTGACTTGATACTAGTATCAGCAATAAGTTTTCACAATGATTCCAGATTATTGATAGTCTATTTTGGTTTCCCAATCCTGGGTGGTGGTTTTGGTGTTCTCATCAGTGCCAACTGCTGTCATTAAAACAGTGCTGTCTGGGTAAGTCAGACAAGTGGTCTAATTTTACTAGTTCAATAGCCAGTCCTAATCCTCCCCCAACCCAAAAAACAGTAGGAAGGTTGGGTGTGAAGTCAGCGACCCCACCCGGGAAAACCAAATTAAATCGCTACAGAATCTTCAAAGTCACTAAAAGAACACAGAAGTTGAAAAACTCTGACCTAATGAAAATCCATTCCAAAAAGAAAAAAACAGAAAATACTGAACGCTACTCATCATTTAGACCAAACTCAATACATATTCAACGGCCAAATATATGAACAAGTTAAAGGAAGACCCACGGAATCGGCAATATCAGGTTTGATTGCAAAAGCCATTATGCAAAGACTCGAAAAACATAATCCTGCCCCACAAAGATCAAAACCCAAAATTTGGATATGTTATGTAGAGATGACACATTTGTAATAATCAAAAGAAACGAGTTAGTTAAAACTTGCAACTTAATAAACGTCTTCAATGACATCAAATTCACAAGAGAAGAAGAATCCGAGAACAAAATACCATTTTTAGACATCTTAGTCAAGTGAACAACTTCACAGGGGAATTAGAAATTCAAGTTTATAGAAAATCAACTCACATGGACAAAATACTAAATTACAAGAGCAACAATCCAATAACACACAAAAGGAATTGCATACAAACACTAGTCAAGAGGGCCAGCCAGGATTCATTGCAGCACTCACATACCTTAAGGAAAATTGCAGAATAATATCTCATGAACGTCTTCCAAAAGAATGGATATCCATGGAATTTCATCAAGAGACATATACCCCCAAGCAAACCAACCTACCAAATCAAAGGCCCTCAATGTAAACACGAAGAAAATCGCCCTACAATATATAAGGTACATCCCAGGAATCACTTTAAAATGGACATACGAACAAAATCACTTCACTCAGCTCTATGTCAACCAAAAGACTCAACAGCGAAAGAAGATAAAACTAACATCATCTACAAAATAAATTGTAACGACTGCGAAAAACACTACATTGGCCAAAGTGGACGACGTCCCCTTCGTCTTCGTATCCATGATCATAAGCTAGTCACCAAAAGAAATGAAATCCACTCCCGGCATTGTACTACCATAGAGACAACCACAGACATTAATTCGACTGGGACGACGGACGTTCAAATATTAGACAGAGCAAACATCAAGAATTCTAGATAACTTCAAGAAGCCTGGTATTCCAGTGAGACACATCGACATAGACAAAATTTACCAACTGATAAGAAGGAAATCTCACACACGAAGGGTCAAAGTTCAAGTCAAGGAAACAATCAGTTCCAATACAGGTAGCCTAGAGGATGTGAAAAAAACACAAAAACAACCAATCACGTCCAAATTCACCAGCAGAGATGGTTAATAAACTCGTGGGGAAATCCAAAAAGCTCGTTTCAAATTGAAGTATCCGCTCACGATGTTGCTTCATAGGACAACGAAAGCTTCACAAATAAACTACCCAGCTAAGAGAACACAACTAAATCAAAAGGATCAAATTCCGATTGGTCACCTCAAAATCAAAGTACGAAACACACACACACACAAAAAAAGAGAAGCATAAATTTCAACTCACCTTGCAAGTCGAGCTCCCAGATAAGCTGGATACCCTGAGTCAGCAGGCATTTCAGCCAATCGACCAGATATTTCACGTAATGCTTCAGCCCAACGACTTGTTGAATCCGCCATCATACTTACATTATAACCCATATCACGAAAGTATTCAGACAGAGTAATTCCTGTGTAAATTGAGGCTTCACGTGCAGCTACAGGCATATTTGATGTGTTGGCGACAAGAGCTGTACGCTGCATAATTGATTCTTGTTTACCGTTCACTTCAATTGTTAACTGTTATATAAATTAAAAAAAAGTGGGAAATAATGAAGAATATTCAAGTGACTCTCCTCGGTGGTACATATACTCAAAATGATCCACCAAGTGGTCTAGTGGATAACGCTTCAAGCTCGAATAAGTTCGTTTGTGGTAGTAACGTCTCTGACTGACTTCAGGCAACACTGAGTGGGTGACACGGGTTCAAATCTCAGAAGGAGGGACATGAGTTCGTTCCTTCAAGGTATTATTGACTGGTGAGAACCAACTTACCAACACGAAACCTAGGTAACGCAAGGCTTCCTTCTGCCGATTGCCTCCAACCATGTAATATCATCAATTCGAAGTGCAGCGTGATTGGCTAGCCACTTAGAATGCTGGCCACATTGTAAACTTGACTGACTGATAGAATTCAGTCTGCACCAAACAACCAAAGGACTAGACATACTAAAATAGTCACTAGACTCGTGTCCAATCAAGGTGTAACGACAGAAGACAATGGCCAGGCAACAGTTTGTTCACTGAGAAAATCAAGAAGTATTTTTATATTTTAATGGACATTATTATTCGTTATTATAAACAGAGAAGTAACGTCTTGCTGAAGGTTATTCTGTACTGTATGCGACTGCTTCTCAGAAAGTTAAGCCATATATCTGCGAATCATATTTGCACACGTTAAGTCTGCTCTGTGATTGGTTGGTGAGTTCCTCAAGGTTAAGCTTTGTTATTGTTTTGGCTTGCAGACAGCTCCCAAGATAAAGGTAAATACAGAACGACCATTTCGCCAGTTCAGAGCCAATCTCATCAGTAGTATGCACCCAGTTTAACTCAGCTCAGAAAGACGAATCATTTCCAGCCATCCAATATTTCTGGCTAGTGCTAATTGGGTGAACACTGGTAACACACTAACTATTGAATCAAATTCGCAACTGATACAGTTCATGAAGGTGAAATTTCACAATAGTTTGCCTTAGAGACTACGTAGAATATATGTGATCTGCAGCTTGATACCTAAGCATAAATGCTTAAAACATGATAGGCATCAGCACTAAAAATAGTATATCATCATCCTTTCCCACAAATCATAGGATTTAACTTCTGATGGAGTTACCGCAGTAATCCATCATTTCTCACGCATACTGTGATTTAGTGTGTGTGTGTGTGATAAATTCATAATCTTTTGTCTCAAATTTGGTCTTTGTCAGATAGCCAGCCAACCAATCAGAAATAGCTACTGTCAGCCAATAAGAACAATCCATTCCTCTACAGCTGGTCAACCGACTTTATTATGGTAAAGGAAATGTATAAATATCAAGTGATGTTGTTGATAATAGATGGTTGGAGGAAAGCGGCAGAAGGAGAAGCCTTGGACCACCTACCTAGGTTTCGTGCTAGTTAGCTGGCACTCTCACTAGTGAGCAAAGCGTATGTATCTACAACCTCCAGGAACTGATGTCTCAGAAGGTTGCAGACACACCTTGCTGACTGGTGTTTGCCAGCTATCACGAAACCTAGGTCAAACAAGGCTTCCTGTGGCCGATCACCCCCAACCATTTAACATCATGAAATCAATGTGAACCGTGATGGCAAGCTACCTAGAGTGATGGCCACATTGCAAAATTGACTGACTGATAGAATTCAGTCTGTACCCCCAAAGAAAGGACTGGATACACCACACTAGTTACTGGACTAGTGTCCAATCAAAGTATGATGTGGTGTTTCCTAATAAATGTACAATAATACCATATCTTACAGTCACAGGGCGGTCTTCGTCTTTTGTGTGATATTTGTGTCGCTCAGTGAAGCGGGGGGTACAACCGACGAATATTAGCGTATATTAGCGTACCAGTCGATTAGTTCATTACCGTTACAACAACAAAGATCCCGCAGATATAACAAAACTATATACTACTCATTAGTTGATATCAGTAGTAGTCGGACCAAAGTGATCAAACCACCAGATGATCGATTAAGGTAACAAGCACAAGTGGTTGGTGCTCACGGCATGCAGCTACTCACCCCGATCAACTCAGTATATTATTGTTTTATGCCAGTAAGCAAAATATATGCCTACACTCCGATGATTACATCATCAATCTAATCTCACCACCCACCCACTTACACACGCGCACACACACACACGCAAACATAAAGACAGACATACACCTCACTACATCCTATTTTATCGCTTCTCTGCCTCCTTTTTAAGAAAAAACAACGAATTTGTTTTCGTTATCATACCGTCAACTTAAAAATGAAATGTCATCTTCAATAGATAAAGCTTAATTCAAAGATAAATCAATATTAATCATACAGAACAATGATGTGAATGATTACCACCACTTGAGCAAAAAGATCAATAGTGCACTGAAGCCACTCTTCGATTATCTGTTAACACATTAAAAATAAAAGGAATCATCAATTTAATTCAATTTAGAGTTTCCCAATCGATTGATTGAACCGAATTACTCGGTATCAGGTTGACATGTTTCCTCCTCCTTGTGCCAGATTCTTCTACGATGTCTGGTCAATCGACGGAAAATCTAAATTGGATTAGACAAACAAGAAGACGCGTTGGACAAGAAGCGGTTTCTCTCGTGGCCCAAGTGGTCTAGTGGATAACTCTTTGGCAACGTTTTGAAACTACAGACACTGGGTTCGAACGTCAACGGGGAATACTGATAAATACACTAGCTGACGAGTCCCGAGTAGGACGAAATGTTTATCCTGACTGGATTCCACTGTTAGTCATCATCCACTAATTGATTCAACATATTGATGAGGATTTATATGAATTGATAGCACAGAGTAGTCATTAGCATCACTGCGGCGGCTCTCTTTTTCCAACATTATCATTATTGTTGGTAGATTATGGGCAGTAAAAGATGCGCCACACAAAATTTTATAGTTCCTGCGAGGGCTGGGATACTACTGTTACTCGGACGCCCAGAAAAAACCAGGTAATTTTCTTACGGTAGTCACCTCCACAAGGAGCCTTTAACTTGAATTCTAATCCAAAAGGCAGTGGATCAGCGTCAGGAGCTGCGGAGTTCCAGTAACCAAAACACATTCGTAAGCCACTCGATATCAGTTTTGGATTCTGGAACCCATGTACACACACCATAGGCTTGGAAACAGAGAACACCCCCAGTCGTATGAACAGAAGGAGGCTATGAACCCTTGTTTATATGAGAGCATTTCGACTACTCACCCTGGGGACGTGACCGAAGGGTTATTAACGGGGGCTTCTTCTACACAGTCAGTTAGTAAGAAAAAGTCAGTGACGTAATACTGCTGATTATTTTGAGCGTTTGATAACTTGCTAAACAATTACTGAGACTGACGGTCACACAGGATTCGATATCCCACTTCGTCTACTTCCCGAATATGAGAGCAACGGAGTAGTTATATACAGATGTCAGGTACAATCAGTGTGTGTGTATCGCTTATTATAGCCTCGTTGTGTATAAGAAGAAATCTGAATCCTAACCTAATCTTACTCATTTGAAAGGATTAGTCATACCGTATACTGAAAATGATAACATTTTGAATCAGTTGCCAGTAAGAAATGAACAATCCCAAACAAATAAAACAAGACCCCCCCCCGCAATAAACGACCTGGTAGGGGGTCAGGTGTCGGTAGATGATTTAGGCCTATCTGTCAAAATGCTCTCACATGTGGCCACGCGTTCGTTCACTGTCCACCCTCTAAAAGGTAAGTTGTATCACCGTCTTTATGCGGCTGGGATATTCCTCACAAGTAAAAAAAAGCAAGTGCGAACGTCTGGCGTCTGCTTAAACACTATGTAGAATTATTATTTATTATTATATCCTTTAATTCCCATGGGAACACAGGGCTTCAGTCGCACTTCTCCATTCCGTTCGATCCTCTGCCAAAGTTTTCACCCCGCTCCAAGTCTGCCCACACGCTTCCATCTCCTCTTCACATAACCTCCTCCAAGTCACCCGCCCTCGCACTGACGACCAAATCGCCGCTTCCCTTTAGGATTCCGCTCGAGCCATGGCTTGTCTAGTGACGTCACTTGATGGTTTCCTCAGAGTATGGCCAACCCATCTGCATTTCTTCCTGCCTATTTGTTTCACAATCGGTTCTTGGTTGGTTCACTCATTGCCAGAGATCCCTGTTGCTGATCTTTTCTGGCCCGCTGGCCATCTGATCTTGAGTAGTGAGAGAAGACAACTGTTAATGAAGGTCTGAAGTTTGTTTGAGATGCCCTTTATGACGCGCTGGCAAAGTCTCTGATCCGTATAGTAGCACTGACTTTACATTGGAGTTGAAAATCCGGATCTTATTTTTGATGCTGAGTGCTGTTGACTTCCACACAGACTTGATGAAAGTAATGAAAGCCTGTCTTGCTTTTCCGATTCTGGCTTCGATATCCTCGTCAGTTCCGCCTGTAGTTGAAACGATGCTTTTCAGGAAGGTTGACGATGTTCAGAAATACAATGATAAACCTGCCTAATTGTACGACCATTGGTAATTTGCTCCACAGGAACTGTGAAACTGGTAGACACATGTAGAGAAAGCAGACTTAGGTAGTTTATCCTTATTTCTCGAAAATAAAGTAGGGGTGGTAGTGAAGAGAAAGCTCTTTTAATTGGATTCTTCAGTCAGCTCACTGTGTTACTATTTCGCTGATATTATCCCCGAGAGATAGCGGTTTTATGAAGAATGGCTTTTTTTTAGTGCCAAATTCATATTTTTTTTTCTCAATGAACTTATCTGGATATCCAATTTTACTGAATAATTCTCTAATAATCTTAAGCTCCACATTGATGGAGTCATATTTCCGAACATCTATTGGTAGCTGTCTCTGTTTTAGCACACCTTGTAGATAGATAGTGAGCATAATGTTGATATGAGTACAACAGTTAAAGTTATTTATCGCATTCCTACTAATATTAATTTTGCTTGACGAGTTCTTGTTTTACTTACCTACAGCTGAAGTTATCAGAATCCGCCTAAAGAAGCCAGAAAAACCTGTGTCCATAAGAAA